GGCTCTTCTGAACTTTGATATGTGCCAAGACACCGCTATTGAAAGCTGTATAATTATGTGCTATAGCCACTGTAGAAAATGCTTTGTTCACCACAACAAAGAACAATAAGCAAAGTAAAGTGACATTACACTGTATCTTTTTCTTTAAGAATGTTGAGAAAGGTCACGGTACGTTATAACTAATAAAGCTGTTGAGTAAGGAAGTTTAAAGTTGATCTTGCTGTGCTTAAATGTAACCCAATGACAAAAAGGCAGAGGGAACTAAAATTGTAATGACATTAAAAAATAGATCATATATCAACGTGCCAACTTCATTATACAAACACCTTGAATCCAAAGGACACAAACAGAAAAACCAAGTGTAGTCCTGCAACAGTATTCCTCTCGCGATTCTCTCCCTAATAGCTTCCAACTACACTCCGCAGTTCAACTAAATGCAAAAACTGATTAATAAGCATCAATTGATACATGCAAAGCACGGACCTTCTATTGCAGGCTGTGGATTTTGTTACTTGATTAAAAAATGGGTTCATTTCTTGTGCAGTTTCAAGGAAAGCTCTGCTGTTTCACAAGAGAGCCTCTTCAAAATTAAAAAAAAAAAAAAAAATATTGAATTTCCTGAAACCAAGATTTTTAAGTGAAAAAGAAGTTCCATCTAGACACCTACGTTTCAGATTTTCTTCCGAGGAATCAGGACAGCTACATTTGTTATTCTCAGATTGCCAAAGCAGCTTTACTCCCCTTGCTGCAAATCACCAGACAGTGGCCTTACGACTTTGTCTTTAAGAAGGCTGAGAACGATGTTGAAATGCTACAACAATAAAGCCCTTGAAGGAGGAAGTATACAGCTGAGGGAAAAAAACACAAGGAGTTTAATACTGAAACAAACAACTGTCCCGTTAGGCTGTGCCCACTGCTGGTACCACCAGAAGTGCAGAGAATGCCACGGCAGAGCAGTTGGTATGGAAAAAGCAATCTCTGAGCTGGAAGTTAGCAAGTTACGGACTTGATTTTCACTTCTCTTGAGGCCACTTTGCACCACTCTGGTTGTGTAAAGGAGTATTCAGGTGGTTGTAAATTGTACTTTGTAGTGCCTGCGTATCGCAAAACCACTGGTAAGTGGCCTTAGTTTAAATAAGAATTGGGTTCGAAGGCTTTAACTCTCCTTTTGATGAACACCAATCCAGTTCAAGATGCATCCTGCAGATGAAATTGGCGAAGAATACAGGCTCCTAAAATAAGCACGAGTGGCCAGAATTTTTCATAATCTAGTATGTCTTAATTTTTGGATGCAGTGCTGGCCACACTTCATTTTCAGGGAATGGACCGTTGAGGACCTCCTGACAAAGTGGCTGTCATTAACAGATCTCCAGTTGAGCATCCCAAAATGGAATTGGCCTAAAGCCGTCATCACTTCTGAAAATTTTGGCAGCCAGTGTTCCTCTCAGGGGTTCGTAGGCTGCTTACATGACTAGGTTATTACTTAGATTTTGTAGGTGGTGTTATTTGAATTGCTTTACATAATGTCATTGATTTTTATGGGACTAACTCACGGTGCCGTAAGTCAAACATTCTGCTAAGACTTGAGCACAACTGGTCTTAATTAAGCTTTTCCCATCAGTATGGTTTTCCCCTGCCAAAAGCAGAGCAAACTTCTTAAAAATGTTTTCTCCCCCTTCGAAACGACGACACGTGCCGTAACTAGCGCCATGAAAAGAGGCAATCATCGCGTCGAGCCCCACTGTACCCAAACTGCATACAGTGTATTTGTGCAAATAACGCAGCTTGGCAGACGTTCCACTATTGTGATCAATCTCAATAACTACGTCTGCAGAATCGGGCGAGCTCCCGTGAAGCAGCAGGCAGGCTGAGCTCAGAAAGATGGCGTGTGCGGGGGCTTGCTTTGGTGCTCGTTTGCTCGCCACGCAGCGGAGCGCGGCGAGCGTTAGGAGTAGGCAGGAGGGCACAGAGCGACATCGCTAGCACAGAGAGACCCTGAGACTTCAGAACTAAGACTGAGTCGTTAAATGCCCAGAAGGAAAAGGAACGGGCATCGTGCAGAGAGACGTTAATACACGGAGAACGACAGTAACTACGCAAAAATGCCAGGGAACATGGAGGAGGAGTGGGAGCCAAAGGAAGAGTAAAATCCAGGTATTGTCCTCAGGCCAATTACTTTTGCTTGTTGTAAGTACATAAATCAGAAAAAAAAATATCTTATTTATGGTTTTTAACCACATTTTTATTTTAACTCACAGCAGGGTGTCCCACTTGTTTGAAATCATCCTGTCACAGTCATAACTGTGAGCTCTGATGTTAAGATAGATTTTGGAAGAGAGTAAAAAAATTATTGGGGATTTTAATTTTTTGTTTTGTTTTAATGCATAGCAACAATACCTGACTTTAATTATTGCAGCTGGCATTGAAAAGCCTATGGCAACACCACAGATGAGACAGATATCAAGTGGCACAGCAACCTGCCCTCTCTTTCTGACCAACTTCGGTATTTGTGCTGGGACACTGACATTTGTGGCTTTCCTTCACCAGGACAACCCACCTTCTCCCTCCCTGGAAGAACTGACCCAGAGCAGAGAAGCATCTTCACCTTTCACAAAAAAATTGTGGTTTTTTTTTTGCCTCCTTTTCAAAACTCAGTTTCAAATGGCTCTGTGCAGCTCAGCACAGGTTTCTCCAGCTAACCCTACTGCCAGAGAGAGAAACGTGGAACCGGCTACGCACTCATGCACATGTGCACAGAAAACACAGGCAAAGTTGCATCGCGCTGGAGGAGGCGTTCTGTCTGTCTCTGGCTCACAGCCACAAGGGTACAACAGCAAAGCTAAAAACGATAGGACATGTGGTTTGTTAAACATCTTACTTGACTTTGCTACAAGCTGTCAGTTCCAATGTGCAGGGAAAGGAACACAGTATCACAGATTCCTGAGCAAATCAATGGCACAGCCTGATACGGACCAAATGCACGTTTTAGCTTTATCATTTTTTCCTCATAGTCAATTTATGAGTATTAAAGTATATGCACGATTTCACCCAAGAGAGATAAAGGGGGAGGGTTTAGGAATAGTAGCGTAGGTGATTTAAGAAAAACAGTACATCAGACTAATCTAGAAGATCAGCAAAGCATTATTGAAGTATGAGAGGAAGGAACTTTGATGACGCTAAATATGGCAAATGCTCAGTTTGCTAAATCCCTTTGGATCCAGTTTCAACATTACAGTACTTGTCATTTTTGCTTTGCAGCTTGTTGGGGAGGGGCCAGGCATTTATCAGGAAAAGTTACATTGGCTACACTGGAAACTTCACCATACACTTTAATGATCTCATAACTGCTGGACCTTCAGTGCAAAACCAAGTTTTAAGCCTCTAGGAAATTCTCATTATACTAGATAACACAAGAAAGACTGTAAATCTGCAAATCATCGCCATTTATAACATCCCTTTCCCTCCACCATGGAGGAAAAAACAAGGGGCTCCTTTCCTACCAGCTACTAGACACCTTGCTGAGATGAGGAGACTGCGATCGCTAGCAGCACTAAACATACGAGATTTATATTTTCTTATCTACCTGAAAACACCAGTAACCTCCCCACATTTCTTCACTGAAGTAATCCATTTACATTAACGTTCCAACTAACATTTTGAAATGCAGCAATAAGTGCCTGAAATCATCAAGGATCTGAGAACTTTTGAGAGTAAAGAACATTTCAACCTACGTTCTGCATTAAAAGTTGCATTAAAAATTAAAAAAGCTTGAGGGAATTTAAGCACTTTTCGACAGAAAAAAGTTGGCCACACTTATCTCCTTATGTATTTCCTTTTCTTTTCCTGTATTTAGCTATTATGCCTCAGCATACAGGCAGACCTTCCTCACAGGGGTGGGAGTCTCCTGTCTTGTGCCTGTGTGAGTGCCCGACAGGGCCAGAGCCCTGAGGAGGGCCTGGGGGTGCTAAGGAACACCAAACATGAAGTCTGGATGGTGTCTTCAGCCGTGATGAATCACAAACTCCTTCTCTCTGTTTTTTCTTCATCTGCCCCTTCCATGCAACCATTCCCCCAGAAAACTCTGCATGCCCAGAAGAGGGGGAAGGAGCTGAGAAAGTCTTTGCTTAGAGACTTTTTGCATCAGCTGAACTTACGTGCTGTGAAAATGAGCACTGCTAAAAAGCCCCCGGAAGGATTTTAGGCAGGAAACCACCCTCCTTTGGTGGACAAATGTGACTTCTGCTACAGGAGAGAGCTCACTAGGCAACTTGACCCCGAGTGAAAGGTGCAGACAAAAAAAAAAAAAGACAATAATTAGTACCATCATCACTTTCCCACTCCACTCCACCAAGAGATGGGATTACTCGAGCCTCCCCCTCACGCACACCCTGTTCAAATGCATCATTACATCTGACTACCTGAACAATGCAAACTGCCATCCTCAGCAGGGAGAAACACTCTCCCGTGGTATCGCCGAGGGTCAGCATGTTAACGATAACAATAGTCTGCTGAGCTACCAGGCTGGCCTGTAAACAGGAATCTTAATCAAAGCCACAAACCCACTGCAGCAGAAAACAGAGAGAATTTACTTCGAGTAGTCATTTTATCCTGCAGCTTGACAAAGCAAATGCATTTCAGTTCTATAAATCAAATGAAGGAAAGCAGAGGAAGGTAACTGCAAGCATTTGATCACGCAATTATGGAGCTTCAGAAGAGCCGTGAGGTGACTTCTTTCACTACTGTCCCTCCTAAAGGAAACTTCAAAAAGTCGAAACTAAGAAACTTATCAAAAAAAAGTTAAAACTTTTATCTCTTGTCAAGTCCTAGCGAGGTGTAAGTCTCCAGCTACCGGGGCTAAAAAGATTAATTAGCATCATTCAGGGATATGGAATGCCCAGATTCTACCAGCCACGGCCACAACAAAAAGTTACCGTTATTTTAAAGGCAGCCTGGACCACAGAGCGACTCACACACACACAGAAACAAAGATCGGTGCCTAC